TGCTATTCTGTAGGGTGGCTGAGGGAGAGGCAGTAGGCAGGCGCAAGTCCCACGCTGCCATTTTAGGCAGTGTGGTACCTGCAGGCGCCTAAGCCACCAAGTCACTCCTAAAAAGTTTTGTGAGCCCAATTTTTAATTTTTTATTTTAAACTCAATTTGTCACCCTCCCCCCCTCAGTGATGACACCCAGGGCGGACCACACACCCTGCACACCCCTTCCTCCACCACTGAATCTTGCCACTTTCTAAAATTTATTTAATGGTGTGTGTTTTTCTTTAAAAAAAAAATGCCCAAAGAAATAAAATAAAATAAAATAAAATTGGGATTTTGGGGTTTTCTCAGGACAATGGAAGGTATGTGTGCTGTGTCCTGTTGGTATAGTTATAGTGGCACTTGTCTTCCTTATAGGAAATGCTTTGTGGGGTGGGAGGAACAAAAAAAGAGGGGAGTCAAGATCAGTTGGTGGGGTGAGTGATAAATGTCTCCATTTTCATTTTAGGGATGTTGGAGTGTTTGCTGAAGTTTGGGTTTGCATATCGGCTTGGGAAGTCCAGTTTTGGTAAATTCACGTTGTACAGTGGTGCCTCGCAAGACGAAATTAATCCGTTCCGCGAGAGTCTTCGTCTAGTGGTTTTTTCGTCTTGCGAAGCAACCCTATTAGCGGCTTAACGGATTAGCGCTATTAGCAGTTTAGCGGCTATTAAAGGCTTATTGGCTTATCGGATTAGCTGCTAAAAGGCTATTAAAGGCTTAGCGGCTTAGATAAAGGGGGGGAAAGCGGGAAAAAAATCTCAAGACTCGCAAGACATTTTCGTCTTGCGAAGCAAGCCCATAGGGAAATTCGTCCTGCGAAGCAACTCAAAAACGGAAAACCCTTTCGTCTAGCGGGTTTTCCGTCTTGCGGGGCACCACTGTAATTCAAACTGATCCAATTTCTCCTCATCGTGTATGTGTGTGTTTTGTCATTGTCTTTGTCATTTACTATTGTGATTGACAAGTGCTTGTTGGACATATTGTGTTTAAAAGAAAAGCTCCAGGTTTCGGACAATTTTTCTTCCAAAGAACATGTTTCATTTTTAACAATAGCCATTAGGTACATTAGAGTTTGGAAATATGGAATACCTATTGTGTCTAAATGAGACAGAGAGACAGAAGATTAAGAAGCGATGAGTCTTTCATCATTCTTCTCACTTCTATGCATGCCAGCACACGTTACGCTGCTGAAGCCCTCCCAAAGAAAACCATCTGGGCCCAGATGGCACCCGATAACTATATATATTAATTTCTTATTCTTGTAAAGATGCCAAGCTGAGAAAATGAGATGCAAACAACAAACAAAACAGCCAGCAAAAAGGGGAAAGCAAAGAGTGAATTGTGTTTTCATTTCTGTGTCTTTTCAGGAACATTAAATCAGGATTGTGGGTGAAATTTTAGTGTGGGATAAAACTATTCTAATATAAATGCACACAGTGAAATGGAAGAAAAAATATTTTTCTTCTGCTTTATTTATATAAGTGGGGCAATGTACTAGGTACTTGTAGCAAAGGCACAAATCCCTTTGCTTCACCCAAAAAAAAGTCAGATTTTTTTTGTCCTGTGCTGATAAGAACACTATAGTTTTCGCAACTATGATTTCTTGCTGGTTACAGGGTGATTCATATCTGCTGGTTCGGGTAGGTTGTTCATTCGGTCAGTGTTATTTGGCTCTGTGCCTCTTTCTTGAGGTGTAAAATTTTCACTAGAGTCAGAAGTAGCCCATTTGTTATCGTTAGAATATTTTTCATGCTGGAGAGGTCCATGCATATCAAGTGGAACTGGTCCTGAAGTTAGCCATCTCTCTCCTCTGTTTGAGTACATTTGGAAGTAACCTGTTGACTTTGAAAGTTTTTTCCAAGCTCAGGAGGTGGCCTCTGAGTCGTTATATCAGTTATAAAGCCTTATAGGATTTCTCAGCTAAGGCCAGTTCTTGAGCCAGGCTTGTTGGGTAGTTAATATTTTCGGAATCTTGTCAGAGCCCTTTAAGATGAGTTGACCAATCCGAAACAGTGGAAGGAGGAGGAATGGCCTCATCTAGAATTAACTCATTCAGCTCCCTCTTACTCTCCTCCTTTTGGAGAAAATAATGAGTGATTTTGCTCTGTCTCCTTCAGGGTTCCGGGGAGCTGATTAACGAATCTGGCATGATTCCCAGATCTTTGCAGTTCTTTCTAGTAAGTACCATAATAATTATGATTATTCGTCATCAGTTTGCAGAAATCAATTATCTCCAAATGTGGCGGCCTTGAGTTTACGAGTCTGGAGTCAGTGCCATCCAGCAGAAGGGAGTGTTTTGGAGACTCTGCAGCTGCCACGTGGGCTCGCTCGTCAACAGTTCTGATAATCAAGATGTTTCTCTTCCTTAATTTATAACTAGCACAGTGGTACCTGGGGTTACATACGCTTCAGGTTACATGCACTTCAGGTTACAGACTCCGCTAACCCAGAAATAGTACCTCAGGTTAAGAACTTTGCTTCAGGATGAGAACAGAAATCGTGCTCCAGCAGCGCAGCAGCAGCAGGAGGCCCCATTAGCTAAAGTGGTGCTTCAGGTTAAGAACAGTTTCAGGTTAAGAACGGACCTCCAGAACGAATTAAGTACTTAACCCGAGGTATCACTGTATCTTGTAAACTTTGGCTCAACCTTGCGCTTGGCACTGCCAAACTTCATACAGCCCAGCTTCATGCAGCCTCACAGTTTAGGGGAGTTAGAACAATAAAACAATGAGATAAAACAATAAATTAAAACAACAAAATGAAGCACTAAAAGGAGTTAAGAAATAAAATGGAAGAGAGGATAAAAACAAATGCTAAGGGCTGGTTATAGAGCAGAAACCGTTTCCCAGAGTTGTTGACCTTTTTTAAGCGGGGGGGGACTTCGGTCCGGCTCATCTACATCACATGGTCTGATGCGCGCTCAGCACTGCACATAAGTAAGAGGCGCCCGGATCACAGCCCATACTGCCTCCTGTGCCCTCCAGCGAAGCTATCTCCTTTATCTGTACATGATGCTTAATGAATGGCCTTGCCAGTTCCGAAGTGGAGACAGGATGACAGAGCTGGGGCTTATCTTATCTTGTGTGACGCACAGACCTTGCAAGACACCCCACGCTTGGGAATGATGCCAGAAGTGCTCTTAGAGTTGGTGACGTTCTTACCCCAAGATAAGGAATACAGGAACATCCTTTTATGGCCAAGAGTACAGGAACAGGAGCAGGAACATCCTTTTATGGTCAAGAGTACAGGAACAGGAATATCTGTTTATGGTCATGGATGTCAACTTACATGTATAAGCTGGCGTGTCTGGATTCCTGGGAAGGGGGAGAGGGTGCCTGGAGGATATATATATACTGTATGCCATTTCTCTTGCTTTTGTGCTTGCTGTGAACCGATTCACACAGTGCCTTCTGCTATCCGGAGAGCAGAATAAACTCTTTCTCTGAACCAAACCTTGGTGTCATTTGACTCCTTCCTCCCTGTTCTGGGAGCAACGCTCACCCTACCAATCGGTAAAGTCTAATAAGGCTACACCTCTAAGCACCCGGCGCCCCTTACCAACCCCTGTCTGGGGAAGTCCGCACCACAGGAGAGCGAGCAAGCAGATCAGGTGGCTCGCCGGCTGTCCCATCCTCGCTCGGCACCGGGATTGCACAGGGTGCTTCCCTGCTCCGCTCGCAGACTCTGCAGGGAGGTGCGCAGGCAGTGACATGGCCAGAGAGAGGCAGGAGAGACATGCCCGCCCCTGATTGCACCTGCCAGGTGCCCAGGCAGCCCCGGCGGGAGGGGACGCAAAGGGGTGTCCCTGAGCCAGACACAGCGCTCTCCAATGGGCGGCTGAGAGGAGAGGAGCGGGCTGCCCCAGAGCGGGGAAGGGAGCGTGCCCTGACTCTCCTTCCTGGACACTCAGCCTGTGGCGCCCTTGGCACCCCACACCACTAACATCTATGGGTAAGACACCCCTGATCCTCCATTTCAATAGCACCCGAATATTGTAATTACTGAATACATTATTAGTTCTAGTTTTAAGCTCCACAGTGAACAGAGAGTCATTGTTACTGAGGGGAAATGGCATCTGAAAAGCCATTTGGTTCTGCCAAAAGCACAGTAAAAAAAAAAATCAGATTTGTTTGTGGGAGTTAACTTTCTGTTAGGGCAATTGCAGAAGGACGGTTATCTTCTCCGTTCTATTTGTCAAGGTCAGGAGCCTCTCTCAGAGAAACACTGTTCTTAGAGAGCATGTAAACTATATAAACCTACTGAACGCAGCTGGGCTGTAATAGACGTTTGAAATCAGGTGGTAAGTAAAATATAGGCTTGCTCCCTAGTGCATATGTTCCTTAGCAAACATCCCCATGAGATATAGTGCATTTGAAATCCAAATGTGAGGTGGGGAAAAACATTTGAGCTTCAACAGATTGTTTGATAATCCTTTGCGTATGAATTAAAACACGCACAGAGAGAGAGAGCTGGTTTGTGTCAAGCTTCTCCCTTCCAGAGAGCCAAGCTGATATTCTAAGCTCATACATAAGTAAAATGGCTTGTCCTTTCGAGGTCTCCATTTGTGCACCTCAGAGCCCACCAGAAATTGCAGCCCCATTTTGTGGCTTCCATTCATCAGAGACACAGGAGGGCCAAGGAAGAAGGAGCTAGCAGTCTACTGCATCCGCACCGATGCCTTCCCTCCCAGCGCAGCTCCAATTTGTGGCATTTTTGCACTTGCTTTTGAGAGTGCTTAAATTTGCTCACAATGCCCGACGGCCATTTTGCAGCCCTACGTCGAATCATTTTGCCTTGAAAGCGAGGCTTTGAAGGGAGCGTGAGATACAGCACAGGTGAAATATACTCAGGAGTCCTGTAGTGATTTCATGCTCTTTATTGCAGCTTGTAAAACAGTGACTGAATTGCCCCCCCAAAAAACCTCAGGCTTTTATACACATTATTTTATATACATTATTTTATATACATTATATACATTATTTTATATACATTATTATATACAATGAGTCCCGTCTGATTGGCTGATTAACTTCCTCCTGGAGCCTGATTGGTCTTTTCCTGCAAGCCAATCAGTTGTTGCATTCTAGGATCCTACTTGCCTATTGTTCTAGGATCCAAGCTTAGTACATAACAACAGGGTTCTTCTGCTCCTTCTGCAGAGATGTTCCTCTTCTCAAGCAAATGTAACCTGCAAAGATGCTGCACTGTGCATAGGAAGCCACCTTTATGGAGTCAGACAATTGGTCCACACCGCTAGGTATCACTCTGACTGGCAGTGGTTCCTCAGGATTTCAGGCTGGAGTCCTTCCAAGCCTGACTCAGAGATGCCAGGGATCTTTCAGATGCAAAGCAGGTGCTCTACCACTGAGCTACATCTCTTCCCATGACTAGAACTGTGGTGAGTGCCCATTCATTTGAAAATGTCTGTACAGGGGGAGAGAAAGGGTTAATAGGTAGACCAATAGAAAAGCCAGAGGCGGAGCCTACCTGTTTATAAAAGGGCTTAGCCCGAGGTTTGGTTAGTTAGTTAGTTAGTTGGTTGGGAAAAGGCAGTTGGGAAAACAGTTGACAGACAAATGGAATTAGAGAGACAGTGCAGTTGGTTCTTGTGTGAGGGGAGGTAGAAGAGTTAGAGAGAGAATAAAATAAGACTAAGAGGGTAAAGAGGGATGCGGGTGGCGCTGTGGGTTAAACCACAGAGTCTAGGACTTGCCAATCAGAAGGTCGGCGGTTCGAATCCCTGCGACGGGGTGAGCTCTCGTCGTTTGGTCCCAGCTCCTGCCAACCTAGCAGTTCGAAAGCACATCAAAGTGCAAGTACAGTGGTGCCTCGCAAGACGAAATTAATCCATTCCGCGAGTCTCTTCGTCTAGCGGTTTTTTTGTCTTGCGAAGCAACCCTATTAGCAGCTTAGCGGATTAGCGCTATTAGCGGTTTAGCGGCTATTAAAGGCTTAGCGGCTTAGCGGCTAAAAGGCTATTAGCGGCTTAGCGGCTTAGCGGCTAAAAGGCTATTAGCGGCTTAGCGGCTTAGAAAAAGGGGGGGAAGTGAAAAAAATCTCAAGACTCGCAAGACATTTTTGTCTTGCAAAGCAAGCCCATAGGCAAATTTGTCCTGCGAAGCACATTGAAAAACGGAAAACCCTTTCATCTAGCGGGTTTTTCGTCTTGCGAGGCATCCGTCTTGCGGGGCACCACTGTAGATAAATAGGTACCGCTCTGGCGGGAAGGTAAACGGCGTTTCCGTGCGCTGCTCTGGTTCGCCAGAAGCGGCTTAGTCATGCTGGCCACATGACCTGGAAGCTGTACGCCGGCTCCCTCGGCCAGTAAAGCGAGATGAGCACCGCAACCCCAGAGTCAGCCACGACTGGACCTAATGGTCAGGGGTCCCTTTACCTTTACCTTTAAGAGGGTAAAGGGTAACAGCGTTTCGAATGCATTTAAAGTTTATTTGTTTTTGTAATAAACTACAGTCTTCATTTTTAATTTAAGAACCTGACTGAGACTAAGTGATTTACGGGGGAGGACCTGGTTGGTGGCAGCGGATTAGGGGTGTACGGGTCACTAGTCCGTGAGACGACCGGGGGCTTTGTACGAACGCCACAAGAACAATCAACACTGGCTTATTATGCTTGTCACCTATCTGTATCAACCCTTTACAAAACCCTAGTGTAGGTTCAGAGTGATGGCAGCGATGGCGTGTATGCAGCAGAGGCTGGACTCTCCAGCTTGCCTGGAGGAACCTAGGCTGCTTGGCTGCTTCTGCCAGCCAGCAACTTTGACAACGCAAAACAGCTAAATAGTCCTTATTCCCACTGACACTTCTGTGAGGGCGGATGACTCATTGCAGATTCACATCATTATAATTTTTTCCCCTTCCCCGGAGTGACTTTTTGCCCTCAGAACTCAACATTGAGTCATCCACACCACAGATATATGCATGCAGATAGAAGGAATGAAATTTACTGCATGTACTACAATAAAAGAAAATGTTATGAAAATGTTATATAGATGGTATGTTACACCAGTAAAACTTGGAAAGATGTATAAAGTGAGTAATAAATGTTGGAAATGTCAGGAGAAAGAAGGAACATTCTATCATATGTGGTGGGAATGTAAAAAAAATGAAAGGTTTCTGGGAAATGATTTATAATGAATTGAAAAAAATGTTGAAATATACCTTTGTTAAAAACCAGAAACTTTTCTGTTAGGAATACTAAGAAATGACATAAAAAAGAAGGATGAGAAGTTGTTTTTATATGCAGTAACAGCGGCAAGAATTTTGGTGGCACAAAAATGGAAACAGGAAGAAATCCCGACGAAAGAAGAATAGAGAATGAAGTTGATGGAATACGCAGAATTAGACAAGCTAACGGGGAGAATTCGGAACCAGCGAGACCAGAGATTTACCGAGGACTGGAATAAATTTACAGAGTATATTAAAAATGTATGTGAAGGTCAATTAACGTTTGTAGGTTTTCAAGAAGCTCTGTGATAATAATGGAAAGAAATATTGTTTTATAATAATTGCTAAGATTAATTTGGTTTAAAAAAAAAACAATACAGATGCAAGAAATGTGAATAACTGTGAAAACATGAAAATTCCCAGATAGACTGAAGGAAGTCTGAAAGTGGAAAGATTAGAATTGGATGTATAATTCAAATGGAATATTTTTCTTTTATTGTTATATTTGAAAATTTTATAAATAATTTTTTTTAAAAAAAAGATATATGCATGCAGATAAGTGGTGGGAGGTGACAGAGGGGCAGGGGTGGAAGTTACCTCATGGTGGCAGAAATGGTGATTGGATTTGGTTGTGGTGTAGCCCTTCATAAGAGGGTCCTTCGCTTTTCTAGGAAGTCCCCTAACGATGTCCATTTTAGGAAGAGCAGAAAAGCAAGATACTGACAGGACTTAATTTACGTTCAACTAGTGTAGGAACATAAGGAGCCAACTTATTCTAAGGGTACATTCAGACATTGGGAATATTGCTGTGGTTTTCCTGATTATAATGCCTGGGCTTTTATCCCATTTCTGTCACTGTTTGACCAATAAACTGGCAATGCCTCAATACCTCAAGGACCGTCTCTTCCCATATAAACTGACCTGGACTCTGCAATCATCATCTGAGGCCCTTCTTGGTGTGCCTCCTCCGCAAGATGTATGGAGGGTGGCAACACAAGAACAGGCCCATTGGTAGAATGCACTCCCCAGAGAAGTTTGTCTGGTGCCTTCATTACATATCTTTAGGTACCAGATGAAAATGTTCCTCTTCCACCAGCCCTTTGGCTGATTAATATTCTAAGGCCTTTTGAATGTGTGGGAGTGGGAGGTTATAGTCTTGTTTTGGTATGGTTTTAACTATTTATTTTGTGCTTCTTTCCTGTATTTTTATTTTGTGAACCACCCTGAGATCTTCAGATGAAGGACGGTATATAAATTTAACAATTAATAATAAATAATGTCATCCACACCTGTGGGTGTGGTGTGACACAACAACAAAGGTCATCAGACGACATCGCTGCTCCCCACCCTTTCCAAACATGATTGCTTCTTTTCCCTCATGAAAGCAGCAGGAAAGAGCTGTTTGTTGATGTGCTGTCCCCAATTCAATCACTTTACTCTTGCCATTTTCCAGGTTAAGGGGACTGCAAACAGATTCTTTTCTGGAATCAAATAACATGGAAATGAGCACTCAAATGCGCTATATTCCATTAATTTTCCAGCAGTGCCTTTTACATCGTGCAAAAGCTCAAATATAATGCCGAAATTAACAGTTAGGGGCATGTCAGGGAAATGGAATAAACCTCTGTGTGAACGCTGCTGCCAGAGTCCGACCATTGGTTCATGTAGCTCAGTACAGTCTACACTGACTGGTAGCAAGGTTTCGTGAAGGGGGTCTTTCCCAGGGGTCCTCTGCATGCAAAGCAGATGTTGCCCACTGGGTTACAGCCCAAGATGCAAGACAACACAAAACATACTTTCACTTTTAGAAATTTAACCTAACAGAAAAGCTGTGAGTATCTTCCCTTTCATTCCAGACATGTTCCACATGCAAAAAACGGTTTATTATTATGGATGATGTTCTACAGCAAGGATGCTGAAATGCTACAACTACTTTGGACAACTGGAGTGGACTATTTACAATCCAGTAGAAATGTTATTTACTTATAAGAGGAAGAAGAGGTCTTCAAGATGAGCTGGTCTACCAGCAATTGCACAATAATCATTTTTCATTCCCTCCTCTATTTTTAACTGAAAGATATACTTTGCTGAATTACGTCTATAATGACCTTCTCTAATGTACTTTAAGTTCCATAATTGAAACATCCTAAAGCTTTAAAAATCAATGAAAAAGGTCTAAAATCAATGAAAGAAAAGATTCGTAATTCCTGCAAGGAGCCTCTTTTTAAAACACTGGGTTTAATTTTTCTCAGACGAGTGTGCTCATGTACGCAGAGAGTGATGTGAAATAGTAGTCGATCTATCTGATCTGATGCTCCCTTGCACAGTGTAGAGGTAAGGGAATTCTGGTCCGTTGACCACCCCCTGCTCCCTTTGCAGAAGCAGAAGAACCACCCACCATTTCAGAAGGTATCAGCAGCTGTGACATGCAAGAAATATTTGGGGTTTCAAGGAAGAGGGTGAAGGGAGACATATTTGGACCACTGGTGAAGTCCAGAAGGTGGTTTCAAAGGAGTTGAGATGGCTTCACAGAGAATATGACTATCAATGACTACTAGCCAATGATGCCTATGTTAAATCTCTACTTTCAGAGGCAGTAAGCTTATTTGGAGAGTGCTGTTGCGTTCATGTGCTTCTTGCGGGCTTCACACAGGCATCTGGTTGGTCACTGTGAGAACAGGATGCTGGACTAGATAAGCCATTGGCCTGATCCAGTAGGCTGTTATGTTCTTATGACAGAGGTTCAGCTCCATCCTTTGACTAGGCGACTGTAGTTTGGTGGTTTAGAAACTGTATGGCTGCTAACCCCAGTCGTATTCATTACAGATTATTTGTATCTATTACTTTCAGAAAATGGCTGCTCTGGTGTCCGTAGGATGAGCCATTCCACTAGGTGAATTCAAAGTCTCACAGTGATGGATCATATGCTTCTGTTAATCCTGAGGTACAGTCATTTGCAATTCAGTAGCTAAGCGCTGTCGAATGCTGTGAGGGCCTCAAGTACGCAGCTGAGGTGAGCATTCCCCATCTGCTCCAGAACAATAGGCTAAGGCTGAATTTGAGGTAGTTAACAGGCTTACATAATTTTTCTCAAGGAGAAGAGAATCCCATGGCTGCTAACTGTCAAACCTGCTTACTTTTCAACCTATTTAAATGCAGAGTCAGCTCAGTCATCTGACAATGAGCCCCTGTCCGGCTACTTTGGCAAGTTAGATTAGTTGCAAAAAAGGATCTTTGAATTTATCAAATTTACCTCTCTCTCTCTTTAGCTCTACATTTTCTGGAATGTAGTTCTGTTCCAAAATTAGCATCACATAAACCTACTGGCAGCAGAGAGCAGCTGTAGAATGTCAACATGCTCTGAGCTGCTTCTTGGATCCCAGTTAATACAGAGAGCAGATGCTGAGGCATTAGGCAATACTGTGGGAAGAACCAAAATGGCCACCGTCCTCAGTTGCAAAATTACCTTGACTCAAGTTAGGAAGTTAAGAGCACCAGTTCCTGTATTGTCTTTTTATTTTCCCCGGTGTGTGCTGTAAATAGCTCTGAGCAGAATGATTATAGGGACATAGTCCTTATACTGAGCCAGACCATTGACCCATCAAGCTCAGTACTGTCTACACCAGGGTTTCCCAAACTTGGGTCTCCTGCTGTGGTTGGACTACAACTCCCATCATCCCTAGCTAGCAGAATTAGTGTTCAGGGATGATGGGAACTGTAGTTCAAAAACAGCCAGACACCCAAGTTTGGGAAACCTTGGTCTACACTGAGGTCGCATTCATGCCATACATTCAAAGCACTGTGGTACCACTTTAAACAATCATGCCTTCCACCAAAGAATTCTGGGAGCTGTAGTTTAAGGGTGCTGAAAGTTATTAGGAGCCCCCACAGAGCTACAATTCTCAGTGTGGTTTAACAGTCAAGCCCTGTTCCCAAGGAACTCTGGGAACTGTGAGGGGAATAGGTGCCTCCTAACAACTCTCAGCACCCTTAACAAACCACAGCTCCCAGAATTCTCTGGGGCAAACTGTGGCTGTTAAAGTGGTATCATAGTACTTCAAATGTATGGTGTGAATGTGGCCTAACTGGTTAGCAGCTCTCCAGGGCTTCAGGTTGGGTTATCGTCCAGTTTTACCTGGAGATGCCAGGGATTTAATTTTTGATATTCTGCATGCAGAGCATCTACTCTGCTGCTAAGTTATAGCACTTCCTGATTAGGGGCCAACACTAGAAAGAAGACCACCTTACAATAGTACTGCCAGTCCAATGAATGACTTCATAGCCAGTCTTGATATATTACCATCTTTGTTACGGACTCTTATCCCCGGGGTAACAATGACTGCATGACCCATCCCTGCTAAAAATGCTCTGAATCAATTTTGCTTTCAGCTATGTTTGTACAAAACACAAATCAATAGTACCTTCTAAGTTATTTTCTGAAACTTGATTCTCCCATCCCCATCCGGTGAAATACTGCTGGTGAGACACAAGTTCAAAATGACCTGTCAGGTAGGATGCAGTTTATGGTTCTGAAAACCAAGTTAGGCTGCAATTCTGTACCCGTTTGCCTTGATGCAAGCCTCGTTAAAATCAACGGGGCTTCTTTCTGAGCAGATATGTATAGGGTTGTGCTGTTGGTGTTCACACTAGGTAGCTCAGTTGGTTAGAGCATGGTGCTGATAATGCCAAGGTCACAGGTTTGATCCCCATAAGGGACAGCTACATATTCCTTCATTGCAGGGGATTGGACAAGATGATCCTCAAGGTCCCTTCCAACTGTACAGTTCTATGATTCTATGTATACATAAGACCTGAAACACCTTGCCAAGGTGACTTGAATTTTAAAATTTGGTCTTCAGGAGACATGAGTTATGGACTCCGCTTGAAACCCTGGAAAGGCACAACCAATCACTGTAGACAATACTGCTTCAGATGAACCAAAGTCAGACTCAATATAAGGCAGCTTTCTAGGTTCCTAATGTTCTAGGACACAGCAACTGACTGCACCATATTGCTTGTTTTGCTTTGGGAGACAGAGTTTTGCTGGAGGGAGGGGAGCTGGTCTGAGAGCTAATAGGACAGAGAGAGAAAGAGAGAGTTGAGGTTGAGAAGGGAGAGTCTGAGCTCTGAAGAGCAAGCTTCTACTACCCTTCTCTAATGTTCATGAACTGTACCTTTTCAGCAGAAGCATTGCTAGGTACTTAAAAGGCCCAGGCCCAGGTCCATGACAAACTTTACATAAAATTTGCATATGCTGATTTTTAAGTACTAGATGTCTTCGGATGGCTGGGATCTCACTACAGTCCCCCAACATTTCTCTGATGAAAACAGGAACGTTCTATTTCATACTACTACTACCACTAATAATAATAATAATATGTGGGGTATAAATAATTAAAGTGTTATTGTTATTGTTGTTACTATTATTATTATTATTATTATTACCCCCACCCATCTGACTGAGTTGCCCCAGACACTCTGGATGGCTTCTAACATATATAAAAACATAATAAAACATTAAAAATAACTTCTCTATATAGGGCTGCTCTCAGATGTCTTCTAAAGGTTCTATAGTTACATAACTCGTTGGCTTGGGGGTCACGTAACTGACCATACCCTCCAACATTTCTCTGATGAAAATAGGGATGTCTTAAGGAAAAGCGGGACATTCCAGTATCAAATCAGAAACCAGGGCAACTTCTGTTCATCCAGGACTGTTCCTGGAAAATAGGGACACTTAGAGAGTTTATCACTATACTGTGCTTTCCATTTCATCCAGCCACCCTATAAGCACAGCATTGAAAAGTAGGGGAAAGAGACAGGAGAACTGGGGCCCACCACCACAAAAGTCCTAGAAGGTCAACTAATCTAACAATGATCCTGCTTCTCAGTACAGTTGGCATTCATTTTGGACTCTGTTTTTAGTTTAATAGCGAACCATTTTGAGCTTTCCTGCCCTTAAAAAAAACACCTTCCAGAGTCCCTCTCTATTAACTGCTATAATTGATGAAGCTCTGGGGCAATTTTTTCCAACCATTTCTCTGAACATTGTGTTGATTTTCTTGATTTGAACACAAACACCCTTTTTGCTACATTTAAAAAATGTTGAGAGAGAGAGCTGAGTCAAATGTTAATCTTGATTGAATGCCGGTGAATTGATGGTGTGTTAGCACAAATAAGACCTCATCCTTCTTTATTTGGTTGATGGATGATCAATGATGGATGGAGAGTCTTTATCATATCAAAAAGAATTCACTCAAGGATGCAGGAGAACAAGTATTTCCAGAGAAGCTTTCTTAGTTATGGTGCAGTTGAAATTAGAATTTATTTTCATACATTTGTGAGGCCAGGTTCCTGTGGGGAGTCCTCAGGTCCAAGAACTCTTCCAAGTCCAAGTTTTTAAAAAATGAAAAATTGGAAATCAACTCCTGTTACATAGTACTGTAGCTAAGATGGGAAACGAAACTGGCAATAACATTATTATGGCGTCTCTCCTTTTGGTTTTTCATTAGCAAAAAAGAAATGATAAACAGAAGAATCGTTGCAATAACCGATAACAAGTGAGATGGAATAATGAACTGTGTGGAAATGAATCATTAACTAAAGGCTTTGCTTTGTGGAAGATCTGGAAAGGAAATGGAAGGCTTTTGGGATGACGCAGTTCTAAAAGAGAACCGCCATGACAAGACAGGCTCTGTTGCAGGATTGGCGGTCAAGAGGGGGAGGAAGCCACGGCTTTGTTATCATATTTGACTCTGTGTTTGATCTGGCAGAACCCCCTGAAAAGATTGATGTCGGAGCAACAGGTCTGTGAAAGCTAATGAGCAGACGCTAAGACTACATTCTATGGAAATGCTGAAATGCCGTCTGCCGTCTGAATATGACTTTTGGATTAATGTGAAAATCCACACAGGACTATAACAACGTTTGTTTCAACTCGCTTGTGGAGACTTTCAGAGGTTATAAAGAAAGGAAAAAAATACGATAACAACAAGAAAATTGAAAGATGATTTGTAAAGAAAAACAACAAAGAGATGAATGGACAGAACTGTGAACATCAAAGCAGTAGAAATAAGAGATGATTGGATCCCTTTCTGAGCTCGAAGCATGGGTACCCCCAACAAAAATTTAAAATTCAGTTTTGTAATTTGGAGCTAATGTGATTTGATTGGTTTGTTAATAAAAATTATTTTTTAAAAAAAGATAAACAGGAATTTTGGAAACAATTGGTTGAGGGCAATGTTAGGTATTCCAATTATTCCAGCTGATCACCAAGCCAAGTGAGATGAGATCTAGATTTAGACTTATGGGGAGAAAATGGAGCAAAACCCTATCGCTATGTGTCAAGAGCAGTCTGCATTATATTTGGGGTGAATAGTATCTGTAAAAACCTCTGTTCCACCTCGGAGGAACACGGCTGCCTCCCAGCACTTGCTCACATGCTCCCCATCTCTTCTCCCTCTCCTGCCCACTGCCGCTCTGGTGTCATGCTTGGGGGGGCGGAGAGTGATGCCTACAGAGGCAAATGGACTGTGCATGCGCAAATGATTGGGGGGCAGGGTTTACCTGCCCCCTAAAAAAATATTTTCTTCATGTTGGCACCTTAGACCCCTCTTATGACTCCTACATACCATCTCTGAACATGTATAAACCCCCTTTAACAGTTTCTAGTTGTTGTTTAGTCGTTTAGTCGTGTCCGACTCTTTGTGACCCCATGGACCAGAGCACGCCAGGCACTCCTGTCTTCCACTGCCTCCCGCAGTTTGGTCAAACTCCTGCTGGTAGCTTCCAGAACACTGTCCAACCATCTCGTCCTCTGTCGTGCCCTTCTCCTTGTGCCCTCCATCTTTCCCAACATCAGGGTCTTTTCCAGGGAGTCTTCTCTTCTCATGAGGTGGCCAAAGTATTGGAGCCTCAGCTTCACAATCTGACCTTCCAGTGAGCACTCAGGGCTGATTTCCTTTAGAATGGATAGGTTTGATCTTCTTGCAGTCCATGGGACTCTCAAGAGTCTCCTCCAGCGCCATAATTCAAAAGCATCAATTCTTCAGCGATCAGCCTTCTTTATGGTCCAGCTCTCAATTCCATACGTCACTACTGGGAAAACCATAGTTTTAACTATACGGACCTTTGTTGGCAAGGTGATGTCTCTGCTTTTTAAGATGCTGAACAGTTTCTAAGCTAGTGGTTATTAGCATTTCTTGTGGCAGTAAATTCCACAAATCAGTTATGTCAGAAGAGGCCAGCAGGGCAGAACTGGCTTCCTGATAGTGATGTCACTGCAGCATCCTGACAGTGGCAGTGTCAAAGGGCGCCCACTTCCTGCACCTCTGGTCTCTAGAACCATTTTCACTGAGCTGTCCACTGCAACCCCGAGCTCTTTTTCCTGGTTAGTCATTTCAGGTGGGGTGAATTAGACTGACAGAGATGTGCTTGTGCAAAATGATAACTTCAGAGTGAGCGGTGTCTAGTTCTTATTTTTATATACATATAAAAAGGTTCCTCACACCCCACAGTGGAGAAGTAATTTTGTTGTGCATGACACTCTCTGAAAGGTATGAAATCTTGTGGGTGGCCTCTGAAGAGGGTCTTTAAATGTAATCATAATGCCAGTTCACATTTTATCCCCCACACCATCTGCACTGGGAGATGATGACAGGCAGAGAAAGCTACATGCTGCTCTGCTAAAATGTGCAAGGAAATTCACATTTTAGAACTTTTCTAAAAAGTTCCCAAGACGCCCTTGAAACATTTATGAAAGAGAAGGCTATTTCAAACCTGAACTTCTTTATATATGTTAGTTTGTTTATTCTGAAAGAAGAAGAAGAAGAAGAAGAAGAAGAAGAAGAAGAAGAAGAAGAAGAGGAGTAGTTTGGATTTGATATCCCGCCTTTCACTCCCCTTCAGGATCTCAAAGCGGCTAACATTCTCCTTTCCCTTCCTCCCCCACAACAAACACTCTGTGAGGTGAGTGGGGCTGAGAGACTTCAGAGAAGTGTGACGGGCCCAAGGTCACCCAGCAGCTGCATGTGGAGGAGTGGAGACGCAAACCCGGTTCCCCAGATTACCAGACTACCGCTCTTAACCACTACACCACACTGGCTCTCCAAAGACATTTTCCCCCACCAACCCCTTGACAATTGCTGAGGGTCTTGGTGGACCACGTAAGGGTTTTTCTGTCTGCAATCGTAATGTGCTGTGCTAGATGACACATGATTTTCAATTTTATTTTTACGTACACACCACAGACCACCTGAAGTTCACAAACCAATTGTCATCTATGGTTCTGTTCTAGTACAAGTTACCAGAGAACGGATGTAGTTCCTAATATTTGCCACAAACTGTCTGGGAACACTGAACATATATTTCACTCCAGCAACTGAGCTATTAAGAAGACCTGCCCACTATCTGCCACCTTTAGGCCAATTCTGAGTGTCTTCTTATAGTTTTCTGAGATGATGACACTGACATTTCATTAAGCCATGGCCTTGAGCTACAAGAGCTCAATCTTTGGGTATCTTTCCTGAGTCACATTAATAACTCAATAGCTGCAATCCATGCTCAAGATTATTATTATCATCATCATCATCATCATCAATTTTTGTCACTTATTGCAAAAATATCTGAAGGTGAATTCGAATTTTAAAGCATACATGACCCAGCTGCTCAAAATATTTAATAGAAAAGTACTACTTATTCATTTCCCTCCACTACCACCTTTAAAAAAATATGCCAAACTTTTTACATATTCAAAAGCCAATCAAATGCATTTCTACCATATTTTCCAAGTCCAAACTCCTCCAGTTTCCGGAGAATCCAAAAATTAGTGCTAGCATGAAAAATAGAGATTATGCTTCAATAAAGCTGTGTACTGACTGTGTTAGTCATTTCTCCTCCTAGAAAGGAATCTGGCACAGCTCTAGCAAGAATTCACTCTGAGCAAATCTTGGGTGATTAATTTTTCTACCTACTAAGACTCAAAAGTGTTACTCATGACAGAGGCTTTCCAATTCTGGTGAAATCTACACCCATGAGTATTATTATGGGCACAATTATATTATTGTGCACAAGATTTATTTATTTGTCTGCAAAGTTGCAAAGAAGAAAACACCAGCAATATTGAAACAAACAAACAACTAAGTTACACACAGAGTAGAACCACTGAAATTAATGGACAAAAGACTAATGATGTTAATGGAATGTTGTCATTAACATTAGATGTTACATATGACATCAATACCATACAGCGCATGCAAAGTGCAACATTACATGTAACCCTAACACATGTGGGTCTTGATCTATGATTAGACCAGAACTTCTTTGATCATTTATGCTAGCATGAGCTATTCAGATATGCTTGGCTTGTTCTTGTGGCTTGAGATGTGATCACAACTCAGTCATAGGGCATCTGCTTTCAAAGTGTTAAGTCTCTGGCACCCTCAATTTCAAAAACAGGAATGGTAGCAGATGATGGGAGAGATCTCCACCAGAGATTCTGGAGAGCTGCTTCTTGTTAGAGCGGACAATATTGGGTGAGGTCAGCCAATGGGATGACCTGTTATAAGTCAATGTGCTATGAAACGTGTGCAAGAGTTACACATTTCCTGGAGCCTGCCACCTTCTCAACAGGTATCCAGGGGTTAAGAAGATGCACGTAGGTTGATATCTGTGCACAGAACCAATAATAATTTCATTCATATATATATATATATATATATATATATATATATATACACACACACACACAGACACACACACACCCTGCCCATCTGGCTGGGTTTCCCCAGCCACTCTGTGCGACTTCCAACAAAATATTAAAAATACATTAAAACATCAGACATTAAAAACTTCCCTAAACAGGGCCGCCTTGAGATGTCTTCTCAACATCAGATAGTTGTTTATTTCCTTGACATCTGATGGGAGGGCGTTTCACAGGGCAGGCGCCACTACCGAGAAGGCCCTCTGCCTGGTTGTTCCCTGTAACCTCACATCTCACAGTGAGGGAACTGCCAGAAGGCCCTCAGCGCTGGACCTCAGTGTCCAGGCAGAATGATGGGGGTGGAGACGCTCCTTCAAGTATATTGGGCCGAGGCTGTTTAAGGCTTTAAAGGTCAGCACCAACACTTTGAATTGTGCTCGGAAATGTACTGGGAGCCAATGTAGGTCTCGGCGGCGACTCCCAGTCACCAGTCTAGCTGCTGCACTCTGGAACCTAGAGCTGAAACAGATGACGAGAAACCCCTCACAATATATTTGTTACTGGACTGTACCATTTCAGACTCCTTGTGGGGAGCCAAATATTTGCATTCTCTCCCCACATAAAATACTTTCTACAGCTATTGAAAGAGTTCGGAGGAGATTCAAGTGTAACTTTTCTTGTGAGATTGTGACTAGCCCAAGATTGCCCAGTGCACTTTCTGTGGAGCTATGAATCTGGATCTCCCTGACCCAAGTCAAATGTTATGTCCCTAGTGTTGAGAATCCTTGCCCCACACCTAGCCACCAGATGTTGTTGGAGTCCAATAGGGCCTGTCCATTATACCACCTCTGTCCATTACACCACCTGCTGTCTGACACTATACAACTGAAAAATAGCCACAGCACATGGGGCTTCCACTTTTGACTTCCACAGAGATGAAATGACTTGGCAATTGGTTATCATTGGGAACAGTAGGAAGCTGTCCCCATTGTTTCCCATAATCCAAAATTCAGATAGGCATGGGGCAATTATTTGAAGTGGTGGTGGCTCCAACACATCTGTAGCTTCTGGGCTGCATACAGAACGGTCAGTCATAGCTGCTGGAGACTGTGCTGCTGGCAAGCTCATGGTCTCTGGCTGCAAATGTTTATGAGTCCAGGTGAGTTCAAAAGAGGCTGTGCCTCCCTCAGATTGGTGCCATTTGAGCAAGCAGAGCTTCCTATGAGGTGATGAGATTTTCCTCAGGGAAATGGGGGATTGGAGCAGGTGGGAAAGACCTGGACTGTTCAAGTGTTCAACTTGAACCCTTAAAAAAAACAAAAACACCAAGGTGTTTTTTTTTAATGTTTGAAACATTCAAAAAAAGTCAACTTAATTGGGGAGTTGGCAAAGAGAGGCTCACCCGTCCCATACCAAATTATTCATTCCAAGCACACATTTCCTTTCTATTCGAATGCTTTTTTAAAAAATCCAAGATGTTCTGGCATCTCTCTAATTATAACTTTTTCAAGATGCTGAGGGATAATTATGGGTTTTTCTTCATTTTGTTTCGTCAATATGCTTCTGAGATGAATTATTAATATTAATAGTCCAATACTGATGGGATCCTTTTGTTTTTGTACACAAAGCTTAATATAGCTGCTCAGCTAAGTTGAACAATGCCTGGAGGCTTCTTTCAAAAGTGAAAAATGGCATTAACAAAAAGTAGCATGGAAGTTGTTGTTGCTGCTATTCGTCAATATGATGAGCTGTATTAATTCTCTCCCATAAAAGTGAACTCACTGAAATAGTAGCATTGCGTTTTCTGGTCATTTAAAGACTCCATGTTGTGTCTGAAAATTCATTCTTAGGCAATACGTTCTCCTGTGTGCATAGACATCCAAAATAAATGCATGTAGGATGAAATAATACATATTACACATATAATTATTTATTTAATTTATTTTGGACTATATACATACAAAGCCTAATAATGCATCGCCTAAGAAGGCCTCAGAATTAATTTTCAGAGTATGAAAATGATGACAGGGCAATGAAATGTCACTAAAACATACACACACACACACACACACACACACACTTGTGACTGTCCCAACATAAATTGTGATTGCCCAGCCTGCCATTTGGACAAGGGACAATAGCTCAGTGGCAGAGCACATGTGCATACAGGAGGTTCCTGGCCGATTCCCTGACATTTCCAGTTAAAAGATAAATGATGGGAATCACCTCTGCCTGAGATTCTAGAGATCCATTGCCAAAGCTGAGCTAGTTGGACAGTCTTGCATAGTAAAAGCCAATAGAGTGGTACCTCGGGTTACATACGCTTCAGGTTACAGATGCTTCAGGTTACAGACTCTGCTAACCCAGAAATAGTACCTCGGGTTAAGAACTTTGCTTCAGGGTGAGAACACAAATCACGCAGTGGCAGCGCAGCAGCAGCAGGAGGCCCCATTAGCTAAAGTGGTGCTTCAGGTTAAGAACAGTTTCAGGTTAAGAACGGACCTCTGGAACGAATTAAGTATGTAACCAGAGGTACCATTGTATTCTAATCATCACAGAACCACATAACATCAATTTCCTACCTTTGCGAAAGAGGCCATATTATATCTTCTTCTTCTTCTTCTTCGCCCACTCTTCAAAGGTACAAACACCAGAGATAAAATAAACAAAAGGTACAATAATCCCTATATATTTCGAAAAGTTTTTGGTTTGTCTTGCATTGAGCGGATCTTAATACTGTATATTACAACCAAATTTTGCACACTGGTTCCAGAGGTCAGGAAGCGCATTTTGGCTATGTCAGATGCCATTTTGAATCAAGATAGTGGGCTGAACCTTCAGAACTGCACAAATTTTAAACACAGTTTTCAAAACCGGGAGAAAAAGATTTCTTAGGATTCCTGCTAGATACAGGGCTCCCTGTTCCCTTTAAAGCAATAAAGTATATCATCAAAGGCAGGCATAGGCAAACTCGGCCCTCCAGATGTTTTGGGACTACAACTCCCATCATCCCTAGCTAACAGGAACAGTGGTCAGGGATGATGGGAGTTGTAGTCCCAAAACATCTGGAGGGCCGAGTTTGCCTATGCCTGATCAAAGCCAATAACGGCATCTAAAGCAGCAGCAGCAGCAGCAACAGCAATAGAACAGGTTAAACAATTGTTCACTTAAAACTCTGTGTTGTCACTGGTACATTCATTGGGAAGCGGGTGGCGCTGTGGTCTAAACCAATGAGCCTCTTGGGCTTGCCGATCGGAGGGTCAGCGGTTCGAATTCCCGTTGCTCTGTCCCAGCTTCTGCCAACCTAGCAGTTTGAAAGCATGCCAGTACAAATAGATAAATAAGTACCGCTGTGGCGGGAAGGTAAACGGCATTTCCATGTGCTCTGCCACTCATCACAGTGTTCTGTTGTGCGAGAAGCAGTTAAGTCATTGCTGGTCACATGACCCAGAAAGCTGTCTGTGGACAAACGCCGGCTCCCTCGGCCTGAAATCGAAATGAGCGCCGCACCCTATAGTCACCTTTGACTGGACTTAACCATCTAGGGGTCCTTTACCTTTACATTCATTTGAGCCAAGGTAATAATCTACTGGGATACTTCCCTTCCCAAGGACTGTAGTTTTTCAGGAGCTCGTGTCCATTTCCGTGGGACTTGCACAGAAAACTTTTCAGCGGATTCAGTCCTGCTGTTCAAGATGCGTATAAGCAGCATTATCCTGCTGGCCAGTAAATGGGCTGATGGATGGGAGTGTGAGTAGCAGTTATTCTTAGGAGCACTCTCCAGCCCAATTATCCACACTGCGATTCACAGTCAGCCCCTTGGTTCATGCTTCAGTTTCACAAGGTTTTTTTATTCCTCTCCAAAATAGCATGTGCTTAGCTTTCTTATACCAAATGCACGTCCCCCGTGCTTTTCCCATAATCATCTATTAGCGCAGTGTGTGGAGGAGATACAAATCAGGAGAAGAGGATGGTGAGCATCACAGCAGCATGATACAAAATTGAATGAACAGGGCACCTGGGTCCTGGGGTTTCTTGTTAATTTGAATTTGTTACTTGTGCTGTAATTGGGGTATTGTAGAATTGTAGAATTGGAAGGGACCACAAGGGTCATCTAGTCCAACACCCTGCGATGCAGGAATCTCCAGCCCAACATGGGGCTCGAACCCACAACCCCACGATCCAGTCTCCTGCTCTACCGACTGAGCTATCCCAGCACTTTCTACAAACAGTTCTAAAGGTGGGGAGACCGTGCGTGTGAGGGAGATCTTTCACAAGGCACAGCTGTTTCCCCCTTTTATATGAAACTGCCAGCTGACAGATGCCTCATAATCTTTAAATATGGCAAACATAAAGAAAGCTGCCTCTTTCAAAGCCATTGTTTTGAAATCTCTCATGGGCCCATTGCTGAGCCCCTTGGGGGTGACTTATTTCTTTCATGAAAAAGTATGTATCACTTTTCATTTGTGGCAAACCAAACGAGTGTGTTTTCTTTCCAAAATCTTTATTGGCACAAATAAGTCAAGCCTGACATTAATTTGTTGCTGAACTGCTCTAACTAACATTGCTTATTAGATTTTTTTCCTCCTCCTCCTTCCACAACCTCTGGCATTAGGGGTGTTGAAGGCAATGCATGCACTGTAGAATAAAATAACCCCAGAAGTGGGGGCTATGGAAATACTGGTGTTCTGCTTGCCAGTAATAGTTAACAGCAAATGACCACACAGACACTGAAAGAGCAGAGATTTTGGGTGGGCCATGCAATCCACATGTTGCATTGTTGTTGCACTTCCCTAAGGAGCATTCCCCAAAAGTAACATCACAGAGGATGACATTGTTCCATGAAAGAAAACTGTGTGCTAGTCTCCCCATTTGGCTACTTAATATTTGATGGTTGCAGAAGCAAGTTTGTTAACTCTGCTGGCCCCGCAGGAGAACAACGTCTCCTGCAGAGTTAATTTTATGACATTTTTGCTTTGCCTCAGATGTTCTCCAGCTTTATAAAAATGGAGAGTAGCTGAACAGTCGTGTTCCCTGTCCAGGGTATATTGCAAAGATCAATTTGCGATCGAATGCGGCCAGGAAGCCTAATACATTAGACAGCAAAGACGATAGAAATTGCTCTGTGAGAGTGTTTCCGGTACACAAGAAATTAAGGATGCTTCGGAAATGTATCATATGGAGTGTGATTGATGTCAGAGATGAGGTAACCAAGCTGTGGGTTGATTTGAAAGGGCTGAGCAAGGTTGTCTTTTCAGAATCAGAGAAAAGGAAAAGATTTAGCCAGCTCAGGTTCTGGAGGGAAAGCTTGACAAGATTAGACCCAGAACAGTATCAAGAGGGGGCTGCCTCAGGGGGCTTGTGTACGTAGTTGCTGATGTGGTGAGACAATGTGCAGAGCCACAATTCTGACACCAGTGTGACTTATGGATGAGGAAGGGTGGGAGCAGAGGCTGGGGGCCCACACAGTTAGAGACTGTGAGGGGGGAACCCTGGAGAGGAGTGGGAAGGTGGGGACTTTAAGCCCTCACAACTGCTTCATCGGGGCAAGACCTCCTAGGAAGAGTTGCTGAGACCCCTAAGCCTGAGCTCTGTGGTTAGTTTCCTTGAATGAAGATTTAACTTCACGGGCCTTGGGTGAGTTATTGCTTTTGTTGCTGACCTATTGCAGACTCAGGCCCTGACACGGGCATAGAAAAATTGTTCAGAAGCTGGGTTCCTACAGGAAATGTTCTGCTGTGCTCTGTATCTTTCTCATGCATGGTTTGTATAAAAATGGACTATACTCTAGACTTCCTAGGCTTGGCTGCTAGACCTATTAAACTCATGGCATTTCCAGAGCAAGAGTAACATTTTCAGTCCTAAATAATGACAGCAAAATTTGTTTCAGCTTTTAGACATGAAGAGGCTGAAAATAATCTTAGTTTAATGCAGGTATCCCCAACCTCGGTCGGCCAGATGTTTTGAGACTACAACTCCCATCATCCCTGACCACTGGTCCTGTTAGCTAGGGATGATGGGAGTTGTAGTCCCAAAACATCTGGAGGCCCGAGGTTGGGGATGCCTGCTTTAATGAAATGGTTTGTATTGCAGAATGCCTTTCACCAGCTGATGTGCTGGCCAAATTTGCAGGCAGACATTCAGTAGGTGCAGCTGACCCCATCAGTGCATCTCCATGTTAGGAAAAAAACACTGTCTTGACATGCTGTTTTACCATGAACCCAGATTTTGTTAACCCCAGATGCTCAGCATCATGCGCCAGCAGTTCACCAATACAAAAGTTTCAAAAGCAGCAGATACGAAGACTTTGCATGCTAAACTAAACTGGCATCTTATTTTCAGGGTTCTTTTTGCAATCATGGGGGATAGCTATTTAATTGTGTGCGTGTTTTAAGCAAAGAATTTCAACAACCTAACTAGGCCTTGAAAGCAAGGAAAGGGATGAGTTATTGAAAAACACAACATAATTGCCAATCTCTAAGGTTTAATAATAGCTGCACCTAAAGCCTTGCTAATTAAGCACGTGTTTAAATTATAGCGAGCAATACTTGGGAGGTCAATGCATAGTTCAGCTTCTTGACATTAGCTGGAGCTTTTGTGCTTCTGCTGGAAGAACACTTTGGTCCATGGACCACATATACAATGTGCTGGTCCTGCTTTCTCAAAGTTGTTTATATAAAAAGATTAATCCAGTTGATTTACTGTTCAGTCAACTTTTATAAATCCAGTGACCATAAAATGCTAAATAAAATTCTCTCTCTCAGCAACCCACAAACCTTTGAAGGCTAAGAATATATTAAAAGGAGGAAGCTGGTGTAGAGATGCTCTCCCGAGTACTTGAGAGCTAGTAAGAGGGGAGTATGTTGAAACCAGGTGACAAATAAATGCTGGGGTTTCTTTCATCCAAGTATTACACTCTGCTACATAGTTAACTAATCTGCTTGGGTCCTGGGGCAAATTAAGATATCTAAAGTTGTCATTAGCACTACAAACTACCCATTTTACATACAAAAAACTGGCAATCCTCAGAACACTCCCCCCCCCCATTAAAAGACAAAATACCTAGGCCCAGATTTTCTCCTTACCACAAAAAAGTGATAAATAGATACATCTTATTTTGAAATACCGTATTTTTCCGTCTATAAGAAGCCCCCATGTATAAGAAAGCCCCTATTTTGGGGGACTCAGATTTAAGAAAAGGGGGGGAGACACTATCCATGCATAAGATGAGCCCAGATTTTGAACATTATTTTAGAGTAAAAAACAAAAAACCATAGTCTTATACACGAAAAAGTACAGTACATCTAAAAATGGGAGGAGCAAAAGACCTTGGTGGGTACCAAGGGGACATGTCAATGGTTGCCATGGTGCCCATGGTGACCTCAGCTGTACCCCATAGTGCTCACCCCACATAGTCAAAGATGTGACTTCACTCACCTACCCAGCTCAGCACTAACACCACAATATTATAAATATTAGGCTGTATCCAGTGTTCTTGTCTGCTAGCCCAAGGGCTATTGAGCTAGCAGAGGGATGAGTTTTAATGTTTGGCAACAGAGAAATGCAACACAAATGTTGCGCTAGTAGGAACATGTTACACAATCCATCGTGCAACAAAGTTACCAGCAACCTGCTAATGCATTCTCTTGCCCAACAACATTCCATTGTGGCAAAACATTTTGCTAGCGGAACAAGTCCCTTGGAAGTCAAACAGCTTAGTTTCCGAACGTTTTGGCTCCCAAATGTTGCAAACCCGGAAGTGACTGTTCCGGTTTGCGAACTGTTTTTGGAAGTCAAATGTCCGACAGGGCTTCTGCGGCTTCCTGCAGCCAATTAGAAGCCACGCTTTGATTTTTGAACGTTTTGGAGGTCAAAAGGACTTCCGGAACGGATTCCGTTCGACTTCCAAGGTACGACTGTACTGTATACCACTAAATGACTTTGATTTAGAGATAAATTGGAACACAACTCACAGCAAGTAAGTCTCACTGACCTCAACAGAGCTTACTTCTGAGTGAACATGCATAGGGTTGCACTATAAATATTAGGTGTCTTTTTTATTTTACAGTAGTAATTCAGCATCAGTGAATTTTAAAAACTTGACTTTTACCTTCCATTCCTGCATGCCTTATATCGGTCTTAAGTTCTCAATCTCTCTCTGTTGTGTCCCCAAAATAGCATCTTCTCAATAGCAAAGTGCCATCTGTGCTATTTAAATGGTGTAAAGTAAGGTGTTTCGTCACACAGGAATTTCAGTCTAGTCCTTCCTTTTATGAGTCAAATGGTGGTAATTGAACACTAATGAACACACTGGGAAGAATTCCAATCTTTTTCTTAAAAAGAACAATCAGATTTATCAAGTACCATTCTGTAGCTATCGTCCTCATTAGGGAGTAATATTAATGTTGTAATGAGATGCAATAAGACTTCAAGATTTAGGCGTTCTGATCTGGTAAACCAGATAAACCCGCCAAGCAACTGCTTTCTGCATCAGGAGAATATTATCATCAGCTAACCTCTTTCCTTCACCCTCTCATGTCTGGCATTATTAAAGGAAATTCACTATCTTTTTTTGCTTTTGCTTTCTTTGTCAAATATTTCAGGTCAGGTCAGGAAAGGAACAGTGTTTATAAAGGGGACTGAGAAGATGTAAGATTGTCTATGAATTAGGCTCCCCGCCATCACCACAACAACATTATAAACAAAGCATTGAGTCTAGTATTACTCGGGCTTCAGGGTTTTCTAAAAGAGGTTTGCAGTTCAAATCTTATCCAGCACTATGGATGTTACCAGGAAGATATTAACAAATATTTGATAAAGCTTCCAAAAAAATAATAATGTGGAGCTTAACAGAGTTTGTAGTGCTGCCTATTATGACTCTGATCATCAATATAATCTCTTCAAGTTAAATGTTAGTAATCTAGCTCAGACTAACTTTAGAACATTTTATTACAAAATTATGATTCTCAGACCTCCAGTTTTGGAAAGTGAATATTGTTGGCCCACTATATTAATAACAGTAACATATATATATGTTTTTTACAAATTTTACAAATTAACTTCAAATCAAATAATTACATAAAGTCTTTGTTTCACAGTGACTTCCCACCCACACCTCCACAGTGTATTTATTCGAATCTTGTTCTACTGCATTGTATATAAAACTCTTTGTCTATTACAAAAAATGCAATTATTTATTAATAATAGTATTTTAAAC